CCCCCGCTCCCACCCTAACCACTCCGGAGCGCTTCTCTTTTACTGCTGCCCTACAAGTCGCGGGCCCGCGCTCGGCCCCTGCCCTGCCCCACCTCGGCTGCGGTGTGGTCCAGGCGTTGCGTTACGTACGGAGATGGGCCATCAAACGGCCATCCTGGGCATAATTCATTTAACCCACCGGTATGCAGGGGCCAGGGCCAGCGCAGCGGCAGCATCCACGACCACATTCCCTACGGATCGTCGTCCATTTTGGTTTATTTTACATGCGATGGAAAAAATATTTAACAACATGTCCAAAAATATGAGCACCAACAAGACGGTCTCCATACGCGATAATCGACAAATTTGAAGTTTTGACACGTTCTTAGTGGTGGAATAAGTGAACTGATAGGGTAATAATCCTTGTGATATCGGGCATATTTGGACTACTTCAGTCACATGAAGGTATGGAGATCAGTCCTCCAGTCTCGAGCGAGCAGGTCCTAGCTTTAGCTTACCTGCTGTGCGGCGCACGCCCCTCGCTGTTTCTTCTGCCACTATAGGACTTCCCTCCAGTCGAAGCCGTACGTGGGGTGGGGCGGGCGGCTGGGGCCGGGCCTGCGGAGAGAGAAAAAGCGACACAATGATACGCGTCACAATAACAGAGCCGGGCCTGCGCGTGTGTCGGTGCCGGCGGACGGAACTGTTCGGCTAAGAGAAAATAGAAAATCTTTCATTTTGATTTTAAGCTCATGTCGAGATTTGCTTTCTGGTCTACACGCAACCAACTTAAGCTAGAGAACTAATTCTCTAGTACCTGTTTCACCAACGCATGCACCTGACTCTAAGATGAACTCCAATTTCGGGCATGAGATTCTCGACGTGTCCGTCGAGAAAAGGCGGATCTGTTCGCGACCGGTGAACAACGGTGCACCTGCGCGCGCCCGGTGAACAACGGCGGATCTGCACGCGACCGGCCGGTCACACCGGTGTGAACATAGGCGTATCTGTTTTGTCGCGATTCCTTCAGTCAGACTTTGGATGCGTCTTACAACTCCTATCCTACCGCATTGGTTGTTAGCTTATATTTATCCTTGTTCTTTCGTCATTCGATTTTGTAAGTTTCACAACTAAAGGACGCCTATGCGAATAATGGAAAGAAATCAAAGCGCACTCTGCAAAAATCCTTAAAAACAGATGCGCCTTTGTTCACCGGTCGCGCGCAGATCCGCCGTTGTTCACCGGTCGCGCGCAGGTCCGCCGTTCTTTACCGGTCGCGAACAGATCCGCCTTTTCTCGACGGACACGTCGTTCTGCCCTATCTGCAATTTAATTTCGTCTTTCTCTGCTTTCTCTGTAGGCGCATTGGATCCATTCCGAGGCAACACGTTCTCGTATTGAAGTTTACTGGAACGGATTACTCAATATACATCAACCAACCAGACCATGAGTAACGCAAGTACTTCAGAAACTTCTCCTTTGCCTGTTGATTGCCCTTTGTGCAGCTTAAAATTTTCGACGAGCCGTACTTTGCTCAAACACCTCCAACACCACCCTGGAAGTACGCCTAACGAGTGCCCCGTTTGTTCAAAGAAATTCTCGCAGAAGACAGAATGGCGTAACCATCTCCGCACCCACACTGGAGCAAAGCCACTTCCGTGCACCATGTGCAACGAGACATTTATGCAGACTAGTCATCTACAGAGACACATCCTTCAATGTCACAAGGCGCCGTTGGTGTGCTCTGTGTGTAACAAAGAATTTCCGAACGGTCAAAGACTGCGAAGACATGTGCAAGATGCCCACCCTGATTTAACGACCTTTGAGTGTACTGTGTGCAACAAGCAATTTTCAAATAGACTTAATCTTCGTCAGCACATAGAAACTCACAAACAGTAGGCATAATTTATTTTAAGCAGTTACAGACGTTTATCAGGAGTAATCTTCGAAACGTCAGGTCAGCGATGCACGTGCTTTCGTATATTTGCAGCAAGAGACAGCTTAAACGAATCACGTAAACAGCGGTTAATTATTAATACTTTGTTTACTTTATTTGCACGCATGTTTCTGGATGTGGCCTCATAATGCCCTATAAAAATACATATATTATAAATCAAGAGAAACCTCAGGCAAATTGAGTATAAACGAAGACTAAACCCTAATCGTTGATTGGGTTGGAATGTTATGTTTTTACAAAAATTAATCCACAAATAAAGATTTCTTTTTTGTTCTGCAATTTTACTTTTTACGATGTATTTGTTCTTGCATTCTTAAGTTCACATTTACTTCTGATTGTAAAAATGTATCTCATAATAAAATACAAACTTCGATTACGTGAAATTACCAAAAATGTTTTCTAACTTAATATATCTGTAGTGGTACAGTGCAAACTATAGCAAGTACGTGAGACGAAAAGTGTTCGCCAATTGGCCATCACAGTAGTCGCCTCTTTCTCTAAGCGGCACACGCCGACTGTTCCTCATATATGCAATACAAGAGTATGAAATATGATGTGCACAGTGCGTGCACAGCGAGTCACCGTGAGGGTTGCCATGCGAGTCACCACAACACACCCGGTCCGGTCGGAGAGGTTCGCGCAACGTGGATTTGGCGGCGCTATTTATTAAAGGGCGACATTTTTACGACAATACGACGGCGCGCTCAGTAACTAAATCCGCTCTCTTCTCGGCCAACCCCCGCCCTCTCGTCTCGCCTCATACTACCGCGCCAAATACATTTTCCCATTGCGTTCTTTCCTTGTCTAGTGGATTCAATTCTTTTTTATTGTGCCTGTTAGGAGGTGGATGAGGCCTGTTGCTCGCGTTACCGCCGTTGACGGCGGACAACACGTCCTTCATCGGTTTAGACGAGGGCGGTATAATTTTTACCAGCGAAGGCCCGTCCGGCCCGGCCTTCCAGCCCTCCGGCCATGAGCCCCCACCACATGTTCACCATGTCCGCCCCCGCCCGCCCGCTCCCCGACCTCGACGCTATTCTTCCTGGTACATCCGCCCTCCGATCCTACCCCAGCAGCCCGCTCTTTACCCCCTTCTGGCGAGTCAACAAACCATGAACTGTTCAGTTTTTGTACACTTAGAGTGCCCGGCATTTCCGTTGATCTTTCATTATTTTTGTGTGGCAGATACCAGGTTAGGCTGCACTCTCAGACCTGTACTGACTTTTTGTTAGTTACAACGTTAGAATTTTCTACAGCAGTAATTACTGATCAATTTGTAAATTATTCCGTATAGTTTCGCTTAATACATACAAATTGACATCAAATTGACAGTAATGCACAAAATAACTCAACTAATGCGTATTACTCAAAAGAAAACTATAGCCAGTATTCCTGCTGCCTAAAAACCTAAAACAAGTACTGACAAAGGGCGGCAAAAAAATCAGTTATGAGATGAAAGTGTGTGCTTTCTTTTTTCGCTTTGCTGCCCGAAAGTGCACTCTTGTCCGCAGCGTCCTGCAGGTGTACACCTGCAGGACATGTCTGATAGCTCGCCGCTTCCGCCTTTTCCTTCTGAGCCATTGCCCCCTGTGCACACTCGGCAATTGCAATCGATAGAGCAGGCAGTGCTCTTGCTTCTATGGTTGTGACTGCAAGCGGGTGTGCCGTCGCGCCGGTCCAGCTGGCGAGAGCCCCTGTCGTGCGGAGGGTAGGCCGGCCGCCGCACAGCCGCGCGCAACGGGCCAGCGTGCGTGGTGCTGCAGGCGGCCCGAGGCGGCCACCGCATCTATACTTATTGCTTAACGAAACCTCGAAAGTTGCCTACGAAAGAGGCACTTTACATCTGTTACCCACCCCTTAACTGCGTCTAAACAGCATCTGGAGTGGCGCGTAACTGATGATCCGGTGACAGAGTCGCGGGCTGCTTTTCACGCTCGAGTGACACTCAGCAGGTGTAAAGCACCGCGTTTATTCTCTCTCTCTCTCCCTCCCTCCCCCCTCTCTCTCTCTCTCTCTCTCTCTCTCTCTCTCCCTCTCCCTCTCCCTCTCCCTCTCCCTCCCTCCCTCCCCCCCCTCTCTCTTTTTCTCCCTCTCTCCCTTTCTCTCCCCCTCCCTCCCTCTCTCCCTCCCTCCCTCTCTCACTTAAAAAACCTGCAAAGAGTGTGGGGACGCTTGCGCGCCTGGGTGGGCGCGACAACGTAAGACATGAATTGTGCAAATGTGTGTATGTTGAGGTGTGTGTGTGTGTGAGAGAGAGAACAACAACCCAGCATGGAAGTGCAGAACCACGGTAGAGCCTCCCCCCCCCCTTTTCTCTCACGCACCGGCCCGCATTGCCTCTCTTCAAGCCCACTCTCCCTCTCATGACGACGACGAATGGCCTGAGTTGTCGTGCGCGTTTCTTCTCACTGGGGTGAAGTAAGTGTGCGCATTAGAAAAGGTGGGAGGGGGTGGGGCTGGGGTGTTGACGACTGTCCGCGATGCGGGGACTGAGAGCACTGCGTCGTGCAGCCCGTCAAACACTTGGAAGGGCAAAGGTCGGCCCCGCCCCACCAGCCGCTCAAGCTCCGCCCACCACCGTGCCGCATAGCCCCGGTACCATCTATGGCCGGCTAGGGCACGGCTTGGGCATCGGCAGGGCTACTTCGTTGTGCTGCAGAGCTCTGTGTGGCGGCGGGCCCGTACGCCTGGCCTGGCCGATTGACGTTCCTTCGTGTACTGTCCAGAACGGCAGGTGCCAGTGGGCGCATTTCACGGGCTGACAGCTTGACACGGCGCTGACGTCAGCCGGTCAGACAGCAACAGGCATGGACGGATCCTTTTTTATTTATCTGTACGTGGCCGCGGCCACCCCCTAGACGTTAAACGTCCCTCCTAACCTAGCTCGCCGCAAGACGGGACACACACGGCTTTGAGGAATATTCGTGGTTGCTATATTAGGCGAGGTTAAACTCTTTAGAAAAAAATATTCGCATAATCCGGATTTTTTTAAAATACAACCTGACTTTGACATTTCATCATTATGCTGAGTGTGACAGTAAATTTTCGCACTGTAACTTAGGCTTAGGCACAAAGTGCAGACTATCAAATTTGCTTGCTGAGAAGCCAACTGCGTTTTGTTGCTTTGAAGATGGCATGGAAACTTTCTGGTTTGGAGGTCACTGTGTTAACACGTCCGTACCCACACTACAGAGAAGGACCTTTTGGATTCACGATATGTGTAGCAAGAATTTGTTTAGAAGCAATGAGCATCTCCGAACCCACAGTACCGACACTAATCGTCAAATGCTTTCGGTGCTAAAAAAATAATAATATTCGTACGACTGAAGTCTTTGGTGCCACTTGATCAGAGGACTGCAGCGTACGCCCCCTGTCCTGCGCCTCGCCATGCCCCCTACCAGCCCCTGTGGCTCCCCGGCAGCAACCCGCCCGGGCGCTCTTTGGCCTTTCTCGACACGTCTTTGCGCGCGTCTGAATAAGATTTTGCTCACTCCGTCGGAGAAGGAGGCGGCGCGCGTCTGAGGCGGTGGTGGCGAGGGGTGAACCTCGCCGTGAGGCCGGACCCCTGCCGTTCACGGAGGGAGAAGCGGGGGAGCCTTTTCCCATGTTTATATTGGTGACCACGATACAAAGTCAAACGAGTTTTTGCGCAGTTAGCAGGGTGTGCGTGCAAGGCACCTGGACTAGGGTGGCCCACGTCAAAAAACTATCAGACCGGCGGTTAGATATTAAAGATCGAGATTACCCATGCTCTGGGCATTCCAAAACCGCCCCGTAGGTCCCGATCGGACCCCGGGAACCACTCGCTCAATGTCATTGCATTTTAACATGGGTTTCTTATGGGCTTTTGGGTGTAAATGTAAAATCGAAAAATGACCCTGTAGCGTCAGAAAGCCACCGTAGAGCAATATAATTATAAAATTCGTGATTTACGTTGAATTCAGCAATTTATCGTTCGTTACTGTAGCACCTTCACTGTTATTCAAGGAACGTGACGTCACATTTGTTTCAATGTGAAACGTGTCACATTCGTTTGAATATTGTGTCACATTCATTTGAACGTGACTTCACGTGAATTGATGCTCAAATGGGCCCAGGCATTGGCCGATTCACGTTTAAACGAATGTGACACAACATTTAAACGAACGTGACACGATTCACATTGAAACGAATGTGACGTCACATTCGTTGAATAACAGTGTTATACCCAGATTTGCTGCCTCTCAGAAATCTCCATATTTTGAAAAATTAGGGAAAATTCAAAGCATAGTAAATCTGGGTACTCTAGTTTTTTTTTGCCGTGGGCCACTCTAACCTGGATGCTATCTGCAGGGGCTACACATATCAAGGCGGCAAAGTCCCGCATCCGCCAACTCGTCATTTTGCACGCTAATCCGCGGAACCTCAACACTCCCTGCTGCAGTGAGGTTGATACGCGTTTGAAAGGATTACTCGGCCTAGAACACGACAGAACGGGCCGCGGGGCTATTAGTGAGTTGATTGATGCGCGCGTGCCTCAATAATTGAAACACGGTGGAGCGACTCGCCCCCGCCGCTCAAACAAAGCCAGCCGTTGATTGTCGGTTAGCGCCGCGTTAGCTCTGCGTTTGGACCTCAATCAACTTGGACACACGCCGACACCGCCTTCATTTTGTTTCCCCTGGCTGGGCCTGACGCGTGAGCGCTCGTCGGTGCAATGCTATAGGCTGTGGTGCAATTGTACTTTTTCCTATCCCCATTTTGTACACTTTTCTATTTTTATGTTTTGTTTAATTACTCTTGATTATCAAATCATACTACACATATTGCCAGCAATTACTTAGTAAATTTATTTTAGTACTTTCGTTTATTTTTCTAGATCTTGTTAACTTTAAGTTTACTTTTTCCACCCGCTGATTAATGTCCTTCTTTATTTACCTTTTAAATTCGATTTGTTTTCTATTTATAATTGGTTGTTTTTTGTAGGGAAGTAAATAGAGGGCGTGGAAAAGTGGGGGGAGGGGGGGGGGGTTAAGTTAAGGTTGCACGCGGAGGGTCGCGTTCAAGGCCCAGGGTTTTGGCGTGGCCTACCTTCGTGTCGGGGTAGCCGGCGGGGAGGTGCTGCGTCCCGGTGCGGTGCAGCGTGTGTGGGACCGGCCTGCTCCGCACTCCGCTCAGGGCCACGCTGGCAACGGCAATGGGACCGCCGTCCACGCGCCCGCCACTATATAAGCCTTCCTCCCTCCAGCGCGCGCGGGGGTGGGGCGGGCGGGGCGGGGGCGGGGCCCGGGGGCGGGACGCGCGGCGCACCAGGGGAGGCCCCGCCCGGCGCGCCGCGCCGCACTGTTGCTGCTTCTGCTTGGTCCTGCCTGCTCGTGGTGCAGGCCATGGGCCCGGCTAGGCGCTGCAGGTCACCCGAACCTGGTTTTGGTTTTGACCCTCACGATTTTTGACTAGCCGTTGCCTGCGTCGAAGACGAGGGGTACCAAACAACAGCTCTGGATGTTCCTTTGTATGCGTTTTTGAGCGTTTTTGTGTTGCGGTTTTGCCTATACTCACTGAAAATATGTGATTGGAACCGATCGGAAAAGTGAGCGTATGTAAAAAGCGATGATTAAAAGTAATAAAGTATACGGCCGAGTCGAAGAAGTGTCATGACGAAGCAAACTCCTAGTGAAAAATGGCTAGTGAAATCGGCATGGAAACAATGTCGAAATGTCGGGATCAACGCCGAAACGATATCGTTTGGATATGAGTTCCTCACTGGGCTCTCACCTGTTGAGGCGTCTGAGCAACTGGTCGGCGCGCACCTTGCGTCCCTCCCCGGCACGTCCTACAGGCGGCCTCCCGGGGCGGCTCTCAGGGGCGTGGCGGGGCGGGGAGGGGCAGGCCTCCGCAGGGAGGCCCTAGTAGTTGTCAAACTGACTGGCAGACAACAACTTCATCACTTCGCGGAGGTGGAGAGAAAACGGAAAGAAAGGACAATCGGGGGCTGGCGCGCCAAAATAAGGGATGAGTGACACTAGGAAACGGCAAAGAACTGCCCCCCGACGTCTGGTACACGCAGACACTGTTTCCTTGTGGGTGGCCGAAAGTTGTCTGCAGCTTACATTGGGCTTGAACGACAAACGACACCGCGCTCAACCCATCGTGATCAGCGTTTTTTTACGATTTGGAATCGTAGAGAAAGCATATGTAGGTTTTTCTCAGATTTTATTCGGCAAATTCCAGGAGGTGGTCCGTCAGCGCCGTTCTCTCTTGTAGTTATACAGGGTGGGTGATCCGCGCCGTGGTTTTTTTCTGCTTAAACTGTACCGCATTCATGCGTGCGGACGGGTTGCATACTCGCACGGGGCCGTAAGGCACCATGGCGAGCGACGATAGGCAAGCCCGCCCGCACGCATGAATCCGGTACAGCATAAGCAGAAAAAAACCACGGCGCGAATCACCCGCACCCTGTACTGAACCGGATGCAGGCGGGCTCTGCTAATCCAAGTATGTAGTAGTTTGCCAGTTTGAACTGCATAACTTAAAGTTTGCCAGCTTAAACTACAGAACTCTTTAGTTCTGCAGTTTAATCTGTCAAACTTTTAGTTCTGCAGTTTAAACTGGCAATTTGCTACACACATTGATTAGAGGAGTGTCGGCGGGCTGGCCGATCGTCGCTCACCGAGGCGCCTGCATCCGGTACAGCATATAATCGGTAGTTATCTTCAAGTTTTCTTTAATAATTTAATTAAGCGATAAACCTAAAATAGGTGGAAATAATATGCCGATATATTGCTTGCTGTCGTGTCCTAGACAAGACACGTTAGACATTTACACCAGAAACTCGCGGATTGAAGAGTGTCGATTTCCTAAATCCTAAATCCCTCTTGATGGATTCAGGTTTCCCAATGATGTTTCCCGATTCATGAGCACGGACAAGCCCCCCCC